TTTCCTCACAAGTTATTTTGATCTCTGTTAAAATTAAACCAAGTGTATATTTGAGTCACTCAAAACCACATTAAATGGTTCATTCAGAGATCAATTGTCACGACGTGCAAAGTAAAACTGTGTAACACGAGTGTAGCCTACTTTTGATCAGACACGCATCATTACTCGTCATTTTAACTTATTCCATCAAACTGATTCGTATCAAATGGCATTTTGTAGATGTTGGCTTCGAAGTACCGAATGTATTCATAGTTGGTTATGGTATCGACTACAACGATCGCTTCCGTGAATTGCCAGTAAGTGAATTGGACGAATGGATAATTTGTTGTTTTCCCATTTGTGTTTGTTATTATATGTGGAATGATCCAGTTGGATGTGTGGAATAACATGGGTTGGAGATTGATGAGTAGGTATGAATGTGAGCGAGTTATTACGTTGGCCAACGAAAAAACGGAACATGTATCACTTGAATGAATGAATGAATGAGATGAGATGAGTCAGATTTGCTTTCACATTGTTCAGAGAAGATATTAATATTGTTCACTTTTTCTCCTTTGATTATTTCCTCTCGTCTCAAGCATGTCTGTGCAGTGAACGATGAAGGTAAACGTGAATTCCTTGGCCAAGGTTAACATCTCTCTCGAGCTTCGTTTAACAGTGTATTAACCGAGAAAATAATCAGATTTGTGTCACCACGTATACATTAAAGAAAATGTATATTTTATACAGAAGAGAATTTATTTTGTACTATTTTTGCAAAAATATTTGTTTTTTGACAGATACACTTTGGTCTTTTGAATTTATTTCCTAATTAGTTCAGTATGTCTAATTTACACAAAGACTATTACGATTGAGAAGCCTACTAGTTCCCATTTTGCTTTCAACTGCCCATTTAGCTAAATATTTGCAAAACAGTTCATGCTGCGCTTAATCATACAAATAAAACATCTTACGATGTTCAATAAATATTCCCACTGAGACATTGAATGTTCAAGTTTTGCGAAGAAATATTTCGTCTCAATTAGTTCTTCATCAAGACTCTACACTAATATGTAGGTTTGACAAATGAGTAGAAAACCGATATCAATTAGATGATTTCGAGTCAATTTAACAATGTAACAGTCAGTTAGTAACCATACAGTGTGTTCATATCCACGCAAATATCTAATTTATGAAACGTGGAAAATATTCAGCATTAACAGCGAACCTCACTAGAAATCACTGTGAGACCATAATTCATGAGCGACGCTAAAAGGACCTTGAGAATGTCCACTTACATACTAAGACAATATGAGGGTTGTAAGCCAGTGTGAGGAATTAGGATTAATATTTACAGTTGATAGAACCAAACCTTATTGACCTCATATCTGATGTCGCTGATCCTCACCATCTAGTCAGCTCTAGTGGACTCTCTACTCAATGCGGGAAATATGCTTTAAATAGAGTCAAACTAACTGTAACTTGGGAATATGAGGACCCAACGTTATTTCGTGGGGGAGGATGAAGTCATAAAATTTGAAGCTGGATCTCAACATAGAGTCTTCAAAAAAAAGAAGGGGAGGTGATATGATGGAAAGAAAAGTCAATTTTTGATTGATTTACTCATTATGAGTTTTGTTCAATAATACTTCCATTCTGATTCAATGTGATGATTACCCGGTCTAGTATTTGTTTTGTTTCTCTCGTATGATATTTTATTCTGTATAATATACGATATTCTTGTACTCCATTGACATGAACTATGCTCTATATGTGATTTGTTATAACTGATGTGATTTCATCCTAATTATGAATCAAAATGGGTGTACAATCAATATATAAATGAGTGTATTTTCTACTAGAGTTGTCATCGTCGTCAATGTATTTGGGGTTAATAACTCATCAACTATACCAGTCTTTGTGTTTTTACTTTCGTGTCGTGGGGATTGCAGAGGTGCCTCGTTCCGAGTATAAGTGATAAGCGTTTCCGACATAACAATCAGCGACAATCAGATACAAAAAGTAGCATTGAAAGAGCCTAGACAATAAGCATTCAAGCGACAAATTATAACAATCAGCTGAACAGACATCTGAGCAAACCGTTAGTTGTATGGTTTTGTTGACTGCAATTCAGTGGTGATTATACGTGAAGGTATGCCAAATAGTGGGGTCGTAGGTTTACAAAAGTAGACGATTAATGTGTATTACACTTGTCTAAACAACATGTTTTGTTTGGGTAAGGTTACTGCTTAACAAATCATGGAGTAATGATAGTCTGTGATGTGTAGTAGTCGAATGGGATTCGTGTACGTAAATTTGTAGTGGATTGGTCTACCAGTCCGTTCAATAAGTGTGTAGTATCAGGTGTTTTTGGGAAATTTTCCGAGTGAGTACTGCTTGTGAGAGTATAATTTTTGCTATGAATTTCATTTCATGCTCTGATTTTCACTTCATCAAATATCTTAATTCGGAAATCTGAGACAAGCCACAGTGACGTATTTATAGAAGACATAGATAGCTTCAGATAATTGACACACAACTGCCAGTGAAATTCTTGTTCTTATATGTTTGAAAATTACTCAATAAATGAACAAGAAGTGCCCGAAAATACTTGATTCTTTAATTTTATTGAGCAGAACAAGGGTATGGTTACGCTCACAAGTTGGAATTCACTAAAATCTTGAACAGTAGTACAGATGTTGCAAGTAATAAGGTTCTGAAAACGTTGTTTTTCGCAACACTTTTATAATCGAGCATCCCAAAGCCAGTCTAACCAGAATTCAGGGATGGAGGAGTTCAAAGATATATTTACAAGAAAGTCGAATTTTTGAGAAACATATGATCAAAGCTGACTAGTTATTGATAGGGATGCATGGCCCGGTATACGTAATAGTGATCTGGTGCGGATGAGTGATCGAGTGCCTTTTGTCAGCGTGTGTCCAAGAAAACTAATGAGGTCAGTATTATTTATTTACCACTAGATTATTCATATTATGTACACCTAAATAAACTGATTAAATTACATTAACTGTCACGAGGAGTAACAGGCGTAAGTAAGTAAGTAAGTAAGCAAAAACCATTAACTGAAACAAAGTGGATATGTACAATACTAACACATCTTATACAGGGAATGATGTAAGGAAAAATAACAGGATCGTAAGTGTTCATATCAGGAAACAGCTCAATATGTTCCTAGTTCTATATTACTTTACACTTCACTTCATTTAATTCAGATCATAATAATACAATAATATTCAGTATTATTATCTCGAATATTACTATTTATATTCTTCTGATTTCCCAAAAACACCTGATACTACACATTTATTGAACGGACTGGTAGACCAATCCACTACAAATTTACGTACACGAATCCCATTCGACTACTACACATCACAGACTATCATTACTCCATGATTTGTTAAGCAGTAACCTTACCCAAACAAAACATGTTGTTTAGACAAGTGTAATACACATTAATCGTCTACTTTTGTAAACCTACGACCCCACTATTTGGCATACCTTCACGTATAATCACCACTGAATTGCAGTCAACAAAACCATACAACTAACGGTTTGCTCAGATGTCTGTTCAGCTGATTGTTATAATTTGTCGCTTGAATGCTTATTGTCTAGGCTCTTTCAATGCTACTTTTTGTATCTGATTGTCGCTGATTGTTATGTCGGAAACGCTTATCACTTATACTCGGAACGAGGCACCTCTGCAATTCCCACGACACGAAAGTAAAAACACAAAGACTGGTATAGTTGATGAGTTATTAACCCCAAATACATTGACGACGATGACAACTCTAGTAGAAAATACACTCATTTATATATTGATTGTACACCCATTTTGATTCATAATTAGGATGAAATCACATCAGTTATAACAAATCACATATAGAGCATAGTTCATGTCAATGGAGTACAAGAATATCGTATATTATACAGAATAAAATATCATACGAGAGAAACAAAACAAATACTAGACCGGGTAATCATCACATTGAATCAGAATGGAAGTATTATTGAACAAAACTCATAATGAGTAAATCAATCAAAAATTGACTTTTCTTTCCATCATATCACCTCCCCTTCTTTTTTTTGAAGACTCTATGTTGAGATCCAGCTTCAAATTTTATGACTTCATCCTCCCCCACGAAATAACGTTGGGTCCTCATATTCCCAAGTTACAGTTAGTTTGACTCTATTTAAAGCATATTTCCCGCATTGAGTAGAGAGTCCACTAGAGCTGACTAGATGGTGAGGATCAGCGACATCAGATATGAGGTCAATAAGGTTTGGTTCTATCAACTGTAAATATTAATCCTAATTCCTCACACTGGCTTACAACCCTCATATTGCCTTAGTATGTAAGTGGACATTCTCAAGGTCCTTTTAGCGTCGCTCATGAATTATGGTCTCACAGTGATTTCTAGTGAGGTTCGCTGTTAATGCTGAATATTTTCCACGTTTCATAAATTAGATATTTGCGTGAATATGAACACACTGTATGGTTACTAACTGACTGTTACATTGTTAAATTGACTCGAAATCATCTAATTGATATCGGTTTTCTACTCATTTGTCAAACCTACATATTAGTGTAGAGTCTTGATGAAGAACTAATTGAGACGAAATATTTCTTCGCAAAACTTGAACATTCAATGTCTCAGTGGGAGTATTTATTGAACATCGTAAGATGTTTTATTTGTATGATTAAGCGCAGCATGAACTGTTTTGCAAATATTTAGCTAAATGGGCAGTTGAAAGCAAAATGGGAACTAGTAGGCTTCTCAATCATAATAGTCTTTGTGTAAATTAGACATACTGAACTAATTAGGAAATAAATTCAAAAGACCAAAGTGTATCTGTCAAAAAACAAATATTTTTGCAAAAATAGTACAAAATAAATTCTCTTCTGTATAAAATATACATTTTCTTTAATGTATACGTGGTGACACAAATCTGATTATTTTCTCGGTTAATACACTGTTAAACGGAGCTCGAGAGAGATGTTAACCTTGGCCAAGGAATTCACGTTTACCTTCATCGTTCACTGCACAGACATGCTTGAGACGAGAGGAAATAATCAAAGGAGAAAAAGTGAACAATATTAATATCTTCTCTGAACAATGTGAAAGCAAATCTGACTCATCTCATCTCATTCATTCATTCATTCAAGTGATACATGTTCCGTTTTTTCGTTGGCCAACGTAATAACTCGCTCACATTCATACCTACTCATCAATCTCCAACCCATGTTATTCCACACATCCAACTGGATCATTCCACATATAATAACAAACACAAATGGGAAAACAACAAATTATCCATTCGTCCAATTCACTTACTGGCAATTCACGGAAGCGATCGTTGTAGTCGATACCATAACCAACTATGAATACATTCGGTACTTCGAAGCCAACATCTACAAAATGCCATTTGATACGAATCAGTTTGATGGAATAAGTTAAAATGACGAGTAATGATGCGTGTCTGATCAAAAGTAGGCTACACTCGTGTTACACAGTTTTACTTTGCACGTCGTGACAATTGATCTCTGAATGAACCATTTAATGTGGTTTTGAGTGACTCAAATATACACTTGGTTTAATTTTAACAGAGATCAAAATAACTTGTGAGGAAAGAATTGACTGTTGAATTCTCTTACACGGTTGCTATATTCCTGGTTGGATGTGTTATCAGTGGTCAGGAACACTGTGAATAAATTCTCTTTAGAAATGGAACTGGAACACGGTCAATAGGTATTATTATACAACCGGCCAATAACACAGTAGTTCTTCGTTGTTCAGTGATGATCGGGTTCCATCTAACAATAAACCAGTGGATGATGTCCCACTCTTACTCTATGAATACTTGTTCAATGAATTAGTTCACAACGTCTATCTCCAACAGATTCTGTTGTACTATTGAAATGATTCTGACAAGATCAGATCTTCATTCGATGACTCACGTCTTCGAACCTAGAACGATTCAATTTACATACACTTGAACACTAATCTAGTCAGCCATAATACGCATAAGTAGAGATACAAACAAATTAACATTTGCACAAATACAATGATAGTTCTGTTACGAACAATTTCAGTATCGAAGACTTACAGGTTGGTTTATACCCAGGAACCTCGGCTATTCTTTTGACCAGTAAACTGTGATTCAATTGAAAAATGACATCAACACATGTTATTGCACAACTATTAAAATTAAAGTAATTGGTTTAGTGATTGTCAATGTGAAAATGCATACAAATCAGGTCAAGCTGTTGAGTATCAGCAATCGATCGATCCAGTACTTAAAGCATCCTACTGACTGTTTATGCAATTCGATGTCCAATCATAACACGTTGGAATCAATGTGAAATACGACGACATTTATCTCTCTTTACACTGTGTCTCAAAGATACCGTGCATTTCAACGACTCCAGTGTACGTGACAACCATTATCGATTATTTACTAAATGCACACAAATAAACTCACAAATCTGTCACACCACATCAGTAGTACTTACTATCAAGATAAACAATTGATTTCTACACATTCAGTGTCTTTTGAATTAAATGTATAAGAGATCTACTAGACAATGAATCCACTTGTTCAACCTGTTAACATCCAACTCAACATACACATAACACTCACTTCGAATGCATTCGGTGATAATACAAAAAAGAGAACAACATCAACACAACATACCATGCTGAACGAACAGATTTCGGTTCGTATTTCTTCACAAATCTCTCCAGTTCGTTTAAACTTGTGCCTGTGTCAACCATATCTTCCACAATGAGTACGTCCTATACAGAAGAACCAAATGATCATGATAAATTCTCTCCATTTCCACTCAACCTACCTTATCTCTGAACTTCTCCATATTTGTACACGGAGTGATTTTGGTATCATGACCTACTGAATCATCCTGAATAAATTGATAGACATTAATTCACAAAATGTCATTACTACTTACAACGTATGTACTTGCAGCGACGAAGTCGATACTAACTTTTATGTAATTTCGACGTGTAAATGAATACTCTTGTAATGCTTTGAATAAATCGGAAGCAAATTTGAAACCTCCTTTCAATATACAAATCACGTAGACAGATTGTACACCAGATTTCTCATATTCACTCAGTATATCAATAGACATTCTTTCCAAACGATTCTCAATCATTCCACTTGGAACCAAAATGGTTGAAATATGTTTTTCATAGATTCCTGGTAAAGTGAAATTCTTCGCTGAATATCCTTCATAACTATCATCAAACTAATTGAAAACACAGGCAAACAGATAGTGAAAACAATTTGAAAACTTACAATTATGCAGTCACTTTTGTAATCACGTGTAGTCATTTCAACGTTGTCAAATAATTTATTCACAGTGAAGAAGAAACTACTGAGATTTTATAGAGTGAAGCATACAGTTGATCATCCAACCAGATGTCTCGTCGCGTTAACCAATCAACTCTCGACTTGATAGAAAGTCGAATTAGGACAATAATTCTATAGGAGGAAATCGAGAATGAGATTGCTTGAAGAATATGTTGAATTCATTGTATTTCATTGTCACATAGAAGTCACTTCGTTTAATCAGTTCGAAATAATAAGGACATTGTCAATGAGCATGATGAGATGAATATTTGATCACAGAGTAGTGAATTGTGTGAAAGGCTTCATCGTAATTCACATTTTAACACATAGATATTAATACAAAGAGGCACCAAATACATATGCACCACACAAATCTCTTTTGATATGTGTGAGGGCTGTGATAGTGCCCGGGTGCACGGTTCATTGTAATGCAGTTAAATTGAGGACACTGAAGGAATATTTGTGAGTAAAGAGGATGATGACCCTGGAATATTGTATTGGAGATGACTCGATTGTGTGATCTGACAAAGATTTACTCATCATTGATGAATATTGTGGAGACAAAATCGAGACGGGATTCAACTCACTCAATTGTAATTATGAATAGATGAAAAATGGAAAAAAAATGAAACAATTCGGAGTTCATCAACACTCAGATGTCTCGTCACAATAAACCATCATCTATCGACCTGATGGAAAGTCGAATTATGAGTCGAATTGTCAAGAAACAATGTTCCACTGATTGTATTACAGGAATAACGGTATTCTAGTGTTATTTACTCAAGTTCTTCACTCGATTACGTTGCTTGATAATTCACAAGGATTTATTGTATGAAATGAAATACAGATGATTGTTGTCATCAGGGAAACATGCAACTACTTGTTGCAATGTGTTAGGCATTAATTATTATAATCGGACAGATTGTGTGCATTCATAGTTTACTAAATTGAGATTATTCACCTTGTGCTCAATTGTGCTGCAGATAGTTACTGGTGAAAATAATTATGGTACATTGGAAATATTAAATGGTGATTAGTGCAAAAAAACATGATCTGATCATATTCACAACTATAAAATGATTGGCATTCGTTAGCAGTGCCATGAGTGTTAGATGTGTGAGTTGTTGGTTAAAAGGAGCTCTATTTCACTGTTTGTGTAACTACTCATTTCACACTAAACTAATTCAATCTTGGTCCATTGAAAGAATACGCTTTTGTTAAAAGTGAGAATTTTCATATCATGTGAGTAGTCATTCTGATGATGAATGAACCATTCGTTTCATCATTAGGAATGGTGATGGCACCATCAATCCATCCATGATGGACAGTATTGTTGAAACGATACATTTATATAATTCAGTCAAATGTGCTTCCCTACATCAAATCTTGAATTTCAATTTCTTCAAGTATAAATCTTACCAGAAATCTTCAACTACATTTCAGACTGATTATTACTCTTGAATATTCAATAGTAGTGTATGACCATCGTGTAATTACACTGAGACATTCCAACATACACAAGGAATGTAAATGAAGCCAGAATAAGTTGACCTGGAGTAGACTTTTAGATTTCCAAGACTAATTATTGAATGAATAAATGAATGAATGAATGCAAATTGCTTTGATGAAATTTGTTTATTTGAGTTTATTAACTAAACAAATACCATAATTTAGTTTAAAATTGACATAATCAAATCACAAATTAGTGTGGAATGTTAATGATAGCGTAAGTGAATTGACCGTGTTTATCTTGTTCATTGCCAAATCATATGCCTTCATAAGCGTTGTAATTCAATTCACACATAAGGTAATAATTACAAACTACAATTTAATGGTGACGATGATAATGATGATGAGGACGCATGGTATTTTTCATTATCTATGCTGACTGGTTGGATGTCATCGGTAAGACATTGTGAATGTTGCACTTTATATTACATGATCAATACAGTGCTCTATCAAAAACGGTAGTTTACGGAACAAGTCAATATCAGTAAGTTAAAATTTGACGTCTACACCACTCTCCAACATTCACAGATAAGCACTGTGAAGTTGAATTACAACTTCCATGTTGTGGAACGATCGGTCTGGAGTTGTTCATTACTGTTCAGATTTTTGTCAGGTGACAGTTTATTTCATTGTAATCTATCATGTGATTTGTTCATTGTTCGCATGTACAAACGAATAGTGAATAAATTTGACAGGTGTAAGAATTTGGATGCCTCAAATGAGCCGGTTCGTAATGACAGCTGAGTAGTGAACGAATCATTTAACCATAATATCTGAAAGACGTTTGTGCTTTCAGTTTTCTGTTCCGCTAACAAAGTCTGAAAACGCTGTGTGAAGAGGTAGATGAGAGTCAAAATATGATCCTCATCATCACTACCATCATACTGACGTCTGTTTGTAACTTATTACTGTCTGAATATAAATATTGAATCACGTGCCTGAGAAGCTAGTCATCATCATACGGAATTCTTACGATGAATTAAACTTCCAAATGGTGCATAGAGGACAGCTCACAGACTCGTTCGAAGTAAAGACCAGTGCTACACAAGATTGCTGACTCTCACCCTCTCTCTTTTGCTTTGTGAGCGACTGGGTTATGAAGACGTCAATATCTGGAGTGAAGCACTGGATACAGTGTACACCTAGGATGCATTGATGAGCACGGTGGATCTGATACAGATGTGAAGGCGCGAGTCGGAAAAAAACATCGTATCTAAAAGTGAAGAACACCTTGAACTCAAAAAACTGTCAACCAACAACAAGGTCAGGATTTTCAATACAAATGTTAAAACAGTTCTACAGTATAACGCGGAAACTTGGAGAACTACGAAACCGATCATCCAGAAGATACAAGTGTTTATTAACAGTTGTCCACGAAAAATATTTCGAATCCGTTGGTCAGATATTATCAGCATCAACCTACCGTTAGAGAGATCAAACCAGATTCCAGAGGACGGAGAAATCAGGAAGAAGAGCTGGAAGTCGATAGGACGGACATTGAGGGAAGCAGCCAATTGCGTAATAAGGCAAGCGTTCCCTTGAAATTTTCAAGGCAAAATGAGAAGAGAAAGAGCAAAGAACACATAGCGCCGAGAAATTAAGGCACACATGAGGAGAATGAACAAGAATTGGATAGAACTAGAAAGGAAGGATCAGGATAGGGTGGGTTGGAGAAGGTTGGTCGGCAGCTTATGCTCCAGTGAGGGTAACAAGCATTAGGAAGTAACTTGTAGCAGTTCTTATATGATCATAAATGTGCTCATTGCTTACCCTATTCATCACGTGTCAGTCTGATATCCATTATTCTTGTCTGAATATAAATATTGAGTCACGCCTAATCGAAACGAGTTCGCTCACTCACGTTCTCCTCTACGCCTCACTTCGTTTCGTTTCATTTCGTTCCGTTTTGTCTCGTCTCGTCTCGTCTCGTCTCGTCTCGTCTCGTCTTGTTCACTTCGCTCTCTTCACTCCGTTTCTCTGATTGTCTGTCTGCATCAATGAGTGCTCGAAATATATCAATTTAAAATGCATTCTCGTATTTGGCTTGCTTTATTCCGTTATTGTCCAACGTGAATTGGGTCGATAATTATATACGAGGATTGAAGGCATGTATATTTCTACAACAATCAGCATACGTTCTAATTGGAGTCAGATCATAGCAATATACTAAACACTTCCCTATTCACCACTTGTATTCTCACTCAAGTAGCAAGTTTGTCTGGCAAATAGGAAGCATGTCTCAGCATCGATCGACCACTCAGCATCACACTTACCAAGAATCAATCACTAAACAATCGGACAATTGCTTTCATGAAATTACTAAGTTAACTGAGAAGAAACCAATTTAGAGGAAGTGACGAGTGTATGTATGAAATCAACACTGATCAACGTTAGAAAGTCATATAAAGAGAATTAAGATGAATATTTCTGTAGAAATTTACCTTGAAAATAATAATAATAATAATAATAATAATAATAAATCACCAAATATGATTACGTTACGTGGGCGAATGAACAATAGATTGACCTTCGGAACCTGATGTTTGAGAATACTGTCTCATTATGACAAAACAAACAAACAAACAAACAAACAACAACAACAAACAAAAGTGAAACTATCTATTGTTTCTCATAGACTACCTTCCTTGTGATAGTGGCACGTACTTAAAGTAAATTTGTTTTGTTCCATTTTCTTTTCATATTTCTATTAGGTTAAGAAGTTAGGAATTCCAGTAATTCAATAAGTAAATTAGAGTGTAGATATTTAATGAAGAAAAACAGATTGGCATAGATTAGAATAAAATAGAATGGACTAATGATAATGAATTTTATTGTAAACTATCATTTTATATCGGTTTGTATATGATTATGATTTATTTTGCATTTTAGATGATTTCTTCCATTCTGTAAAGTAGTTGATGGGATTTTGTGGTGAATATTATTTTGATTGGTAATTCTGTCAATTGACAATTGAATTGACGAGTCAATCTAAGCTGGAATACGACTGAAAACGTGGAAGTATTTGACGGTCTATTCCTTACTAGTATGGGATTCCTCAGAGGTGCGCATCGACGATTCCACTGATGGGACTTGAACCCAGGATGTTTGGTCTTGCTTGCGAGTACTTAAGCTCCATATCACTAATTTGCCCGGCATTCAACGGTATGAATTTCTACCTTCGAACAATCACTTGAATACTTATTATTTTGATTCTATCTTTCAACTAGGCTCTCTGCTCTACCCTTTTCTCCGTCTTCTGGTGATGCACTGGATTATGAAGACCTCAACGTCTGTGAGAAAACATGGAATAAAATGTACAGCTCAGAACAAATTAGACGATTTGGCTTTCGCAAATGACCTAACCCACCTATCCCACACACGCGAACAAATGCAGATTTCGACAACTAGTGTAGCAGCAGTCTCTGCATCAGTAGGCCTCAATACACACAAAAGAAAAACCAGGACAGGGTTAG